AGAAGTTTCCTCTTGGATTCTGGTACAAATGAACGTGAACAAGACGGCCCAGCACCAGAGGTGGAAGGCTGAGGGTCGTCTGGGTTTTCCTCACTATTACCGACATTATGGTCATTAGTTTCGGTCAAAACCTCACTAAAACCTTGAAACTCATCTTCACTGGCACTTCCATCTGTATTAGAACTGTCACTGGGGAACAAAAGTGTCCCAATTCGCCGAGGAGTGAGGAGCTTCTTACCGCGAGGCATGGTGGACATTGTTTACTAAGATGGCGTTCCCACAATGCACCACTGGGTCCCAGATTTTTTTTATACCCCGCACACCGACCACACAGACCCAATCTCTCACATGTAGGCCTACCAGCCTTTTCCCGCGAGATTTGACGGCGCTAGAATTTGTGCATACTAGTACGTCAAAAACCCCTGCGCCTAAGACGTACTAGTACGTCCGAAACCCTCAAAGGGTTAAAAGCTTAAGGTAATTTGCTGTGGTTGAACCCCATGCACAAATACCATGGGTGAGGTAAGGATAAATGAAAGAGTGGTACAAAGCTAGAAGAGCTGATTGGGGTACATAGTACCATATCTTTGAAATGATACCTACTGTTTTAGAGACTTTCTTGGAAATTTGCTGTATGTGTGTCTGAAATTTGAGGCTGCAGGCAAGGTGGAGACCTAGAAATTTGTCCTCTGTCTGTCTAGAAATAGGTGAACTACTTATAAATATGTTTAGCTGTACATTTGAAGTTCTGTTTCCAAAAAGCATGAAGTAGGTTTTGTCTACAATGACAGTAAGTTTGTTTGTAATTATCCAAGTAGATATTTTTAGCAGTTCAGCATTTACAGCGTCTGTTAGTATGGCTGGGTTTGGGTGAGAGAAGACGTAAATTGCATCATCTGCAAATAAAATAGGTTTAAGGAGATTAGATGCATTTGGTAGGCCATTGATGTAAATGAGAAAGAGAAGTGGGCCAAGGACACTCCCCTGAGGGACTTCAACAAGAATAGGTTGTGTAGTGGAGCTGGATAGACAGTGATTATGTATGAATGATGGTGAAAGTGTTGAATGATGATGATGATTTTTTATTTCTTTTTTTTTTTGGGGTCACCCTGCCTTGGTGGGAGGCAACCAACATGTTATTAAAATAAGATCATTATAAAAAATTTCTCTGTGGGTCATCATTTAACTCTTTTTACACACAGGTGGAGATGCTCTTTTCATCACGGTGCAATATAAGTGGAAATTCTGAGAGTTGGACAAGCCTGTTTTACTTACCTAGAAGTGATTAAATAGTTCTAGCTACACGAGTAGAGCAGAGTTTGCAGAATTAAGTCCTTACTACTGAATATAGTTCAAATTTTTTCAAGTTTCCCTGTAACTGGCAGACTTAAGTAGACAAGTGGTATTTCAAAGACACTAAACAACATAGAAAAAACTTTAATTTAAAACATCAATGGAAAAAGAAAGATTTTCCTTAGAGTATCCATGAATCAGTTTTCCTATGGCTATAGCATTTATTATCTGTGTGGAGCCACACACTATGAGCTGGGTCCACTTCCTTGCACACAGCTAGTTCTGTCCTGTACAATATTATAAATAAGAATAATACAAGAAGTTGTTCATGGGACTAACACCAACCTACTGCTCTGTAGATGAGAGACCTCAGACACTCCACTTCTGTTTCCAGCTCTGCCAGACGAAAGTGAAGGTACTGATTATTGAGTAGAGGCTGCCCGAATGCTTTCCTTTCCCGGGTGTAGTCTATAGTCTCCTGTATACACATCTCAAGCGGTTTCAGAGCACCAAGTGACAAGGCCATACGCTCCTGCTGAAACTGATGCATAAAAAATTTAATTACAATGTTATATTATAAAGCAAGCCCATGAATTTCTCACAGACATAAACCAATGGCCTTAAAATAAGGAATATCCTTACCTACAAAACTGTTTTTACCAGTAAACTTAAAATAAAGGAGAACACAAAATATGAAGTTAAACAAAATGAAGAATATTACAATATTAAGTGAAGAATTGAGACACTAATGCAACATATGGGAATCTTTATTGAAGAAACGTTACGCTACACAGTGGCTTCATTGGTCCAATACAAAGCAGGAGAAGCTTGAGGCAATCAGTCCCTCAGCCTAGAATCAATGTGTTCAGTCCATCACTCTTGTAGGAAGTATAGCACAGGGCCAGAGAGGTGGCTTATACAGTGGACCCTCAACCAGCGATGGCATCGATTAACGATAAATCTGACTAGCGATTCATTTAAACGCAAAAATTTTGCCTCGACTAGCGCTTAAAAACCCGACCAGTGCTATTCGTTCCGTACCATACGTGTCCACTTTGGCCTGAGCGCGCCTCACTTGTCCCTTTGGTGCCAGTGTTTACAAGCCAGCCAGCCACCGCGGTCGCTTCCAAACATACAACTGGAACATTTCATATTATCACAGCCTTTTTAGTGATTGCACCTGCAAAATAAGTCACCATGGGCCCCAAGAAAGCTTCTAGTGCCAACCCTACAGCAAAAAGGGTGAGAATTACTATGGAGATGAAGAAAGAGATCATTGATAAATATGAAAGTGGAATGCGTATCTCTGAGCTGGTCAGGTTGTATAATAAACCCCAATCAACCATCGCTACTATTGTGGGCAAGAAAACGGCAATCAAGGAAGCTGATCTTGCCAAAGGTGCAACTATGTTTTCGAAACTGAGATCACAATACTCGAAGATGTTGAGAGACTGTTATTGGTGTGGATAAACGAGAAAACAGATAGCAGGAGACAGCATCTCTCAAGCGATCATATGTGAAAAGGCTAGGAAGTTGCATGACGATTTAATTAAAAAAATGCCAGCAACTAGTGATGTGAGTGAATTTTAAAAGGCCAGCAAAGGTTGGTTTGAGGATTTAAGAAGCGTAGTGGCATCATAGTGTATAAGGCATGGTGAGGCTGCCAGTTCAGACCACAAATGGGCTGAAAAATATGTGCAGGACTTCAAGGAGTACATAGACAGTGAAGGACTGAAACCTGAACAAGTGTTTAATTGTGACGAAACAGGCCTGTTTTGGAAGAAAATGTCAAGCAGGACGTACATTACTCAGGAGGAAAAGGCACTTCCCAGGACATAACCCTTTAAGAAAGACGGGCTTCCCTCTGTTGATGTGTGCCAATGCTAGGGGTGATTGCAAAGTGAAGCCTTTATTGGTGTATCACTCTGAAACCCCCAGAGTGTTCGGGAAAAACAATGTCCTCAAGGCTAATTTTTTGTCCCTGTGGAGGGCAAACAGTAAGGCATAGGTCACTAGGGACTTTTTCTATGACGGGTTACACCATGCATTTGCCCCCGATGTGAAAAATTACCTAATTGAAAAGAAATTAGACCTTAAGTGCCTCCTGGTATTAGACAATGCCCCTGGTCATCCTACAGATGTGGCAGAGTGACTTTCTAGGGACATGAGCTTCATTAAGGTGAAGTTTTTGCCTCCTAATACCACTCCTCTCCTGCAGCCCATGGACCAGCAGGTTATTTTCCAACTTCAAGAAACTGTACACAAAAGCTATGTTTGAAAGGTGCTTTGTAGTGACCTCAGAAACTCAACTGACTCTAAGATCATTTTACCATCCTCAATTGTGTAAACATTATAGGTAAGGCTTGGGAGGAAGTGACTAAGAGGACATTGAACTCTGGCTTTAAAAAAACTGTGGGCCAGAATGTGTAGACAAAAGGGATTTTGAAGGGTTTGAGGCTAACCCTGAAAATCCTATGCCAGTTGAGGAATCCATTGTGGCATTGGGGAAGTCCTTGGGGTTGGAGGTTAGTGGGGAGGATGTGGAAGAGTTGGTGGTGGAGGAAAAGTGAAGAACCCAACCACTGATGAGCTGCTAGATCATCTTGAACAGCAAGAGGGCAGACCTGAGGAAACTGCTTCGGAGGAGGGGAAAAGAAATTGAAGAATTGCCTACTTCTAAGAATAAAGGGAAAACTGTGCAATGTGGCTTAAAGTGCAAAGCTTTATGGATGATAATCACCCTGACACAGCTACTGCAAGCCGTGTTGGCAACCTGTACACTGACAATGTTGTGAACCACTTTAGGAAAGTCATAAAGGAACGAGAGGTACAGGCCTCTATGGACAGATATGTTGGCGACCAGAGTCCAGTGACTCTCAAGCTGGTCCTAGTGGCAATTAAAAGAACAAGGGAAGTAACCCCAGAAAAAGACTTGGGTGCCTCAAGTGCTAATGGGAAAGGGGGTTCCCCTTCTAAACAGTAAGAAGAAAAACCGCTCTCCCCTCCCCCCATCCCATCAATCATCACCAGATCTTCAATTAAGGTAAGTGTCATGTAACTGTGCATGTAATCTTCAGTTTGTGTGTATTAAAATTAATATTTCATGTGGTAAAATTTTTTTTTTTCAGTACTTTTGGGTGTCTTGCACAGTTTAATTTGATTTCCATTATTTCTTATGGGGAAAATTAACTTGACTAACGATTATTTTGACTAACGATGAGCTCTCAGGAACGGATTAATATCGCTGGTTGAGGGTCCACTGTACACTGCAGTTAGGTGAGTCGAAGCAGGAGGAGGCGGGATCAGGAGAGCTCGGCCGGCATTGGTGGCAAGTGGACGTGTCTTCCAAAGGCTCCTCAGTTGTTCGTTGGTGGTGTAAGCCCTGTTAGGTTCTGCTTCACCGTCTTTTTTTTCTTGTGTACTTGTGTTTTCATTGTTTTCTCTATCAGGCGGTGTTGTGGGGCCCATTTATGGGGGGTTCGACTGAGATGTCGTTCACCCCAATAGGGGGGGACCCCCACCGGTCCCTACTCAGTTGACAACTGTTTCATTACTGCCTGACCAAGATATGGCTAGTGTCCCCCTACTGGATAAACAAACGAGCCCTTGAGGTTGATGACAGTGCCAGGCCCCTGTCTAGCCCAAAACGCCAACCAACCGCTTGTCCAGACTATGCTCCTTCTTCTCCTCGAATTACTCCAGACGTAATGGTGGTTCTTGTGAGTCCTAAGGATGGCGGTACACCCTTCACCAATCCATGGGATGTCACCAACGCCATCAGTGGATCTCCTTTCAGCAAAGCTTGCATAGATCGGGGTGTCCAGCAACTTGGTAGGGGTGCAGCCCTAAGGCTCCGGCTCCATCGTCAGTCTTTTCTCGCTAGAAACTTACCACTAAATGCCATTCATGTCCTGGGTAGGTGGAATGTTGTCTGCTGGGAGGTCCGCTCCTCAAGCCTCGCCGCCGGTTGTTGTTACGGCAGAATTGGACCGATTTCTGCATCCCTCTCAGATGAGGAGATCCACTCTGAATTGTTTACAGCAGGGGTGACGACTTAGGTTTGCGGGAGGTTTGGAGCTTCTCGAATCATTCTGCCCCATCTTGTGGTCCACATCTACACTCACTCACTCACCCATTTGACTATAAGCACAGAAATACGTATCCTAATCTTAAAATAATGATTCCAAACTAGTCATAAGTTTGCCTGTGATACTCCAATACAGAAACTATGTATTGTGCCAAAACAAAAGCATTCACATTGCTAAACCCACAAACTAGTATTTGTCACTTAGTATTTAGTCACTTAGTATTTAGTCAACTTACTCCACAATTTGTTATAAATTAGGGTTAAGAATTAATCTAAGTTTGCCTGAAATGCCTAGCCATGCTAGGTGTTCTAGTGGCCCCCTCTGTAATTAGTATTTTACTACAAGTAAACCACATAATAACCAAAATCTGTAAACCCTGCATTGTAATCCTTATAGAGAATAAACTTTGATTTGATTTGATTTGATCTGATCTTGTATGATTTGTGTATGTTTCTCAGGTGCTCTCCTGAGATTTGTGACTTTTGGCAACCTAAGGTTTCCTGTTCTTCCTTATACTTTTCCTTTACTCCGGTGTCGGAAATGTTTTCTTTTTGGGCATGGAGAGTTGTCTTGCCATGGTAAGGTAAGATGTGTGAACTGCAGCAGGCTTCACCCAGTCATTAAAGACGGCATTACCTGTACTCACCCGGCTTTGTGCTACTTCTGTAAAGGAAACCACAAGGTTACGTCCCGGTCTTGCCCGGCATATTGCCAGGCTCTTGATTTGGCAAACTCAGCCAGGGCCCAGTCTCTTTTGCTCGATGAATGTAACTCCTGCTTTCGGTCCGTAAAGCCAGTCACAGTTCGTCAGCCCTTGCCTCCTTCACCTCCAGTGCCCCCCACTAAGGGTGTCTCCCCAGCAGCGACATGGCCAGGGCACCTGTACTCCACAGCTGTCTCTGTTACAAATTGGTTTGGGGCTCTTGTGGACCTCTCTCTCCCATTAGAGGATTCCCCACCCCAGGGGCAACATCAACTCAGGGTGTCCTCGGACCCGGCTTCCATTGGGGAAGTTATTGCCCATGCCCCTCCTCGTTCACAATGCACATCCTCCTGTCGAGGTGGTGCAGTTTCCAAATCGACTCGATGCTCGGTACCCCACCCAGTTCCGGTGGACATCTTACCCAACCTGGAGCCTCCTGTCTCGCAGCCGACTCCCCCCTCCCCAATTCTCCTCAACCCCAGCCTTGGCCTGTCCCTATGCCAGGACCCTTCATGTCTGAAGGTCCTGCCTTTTCACTCTTGGCTACTTGGGCTTTATTCCTTTATCCTGTTCTCCTTCTGGTGGAGGAGATGCTACATTCCTACCTCCAGGGGGCCTCTTTTGTGACTGCATGTCTCTCAGTTCTCCCTTGCCTTATTGGGCTACTTAGTTCACACACGTGAATCATTCTCACTCCTCTGTTTTTCTTCTTTGGAATGCATGTTCCATACTGGGGAAGCTTCTGGACCTTCAGCAGTATCTGGCTGAGGTACAGCCACTGGCGGTGGGTCTCTCTGAGACATGGTTACATCCTCGATATTCTCTTCGGGTCCTGGTTTTACTGTTTACCATAGGGATCGCCTCACAGGGAGCAGTGGTAACCTAGCTCTTCTTATATGCAACCAGCTCCAGAGTACGGCCCTCTCTCTCCAAGCCTATGAGAGTGGAGTGTTGGAAACTCTGGCTGTGAAAGTTGCCTTGGGCACTCAGCAGTGCAACATACTCCTGATACATAATCCGGGCAGGTCAGTTACACAAAGTGAATTTATCCATTACTTTGGGCAACTTCGTGGTTCTACACTTGTGATAGGAGACTTTAACGCTAGGCACCAGTTTTGGGAGCCATCCATTTCTTTGGGATCGGTGAATCCCACAGGTAGGGCCCTGTTCCAAACCCTTCTCGCATCTCACCTTTTGTTGCTCACACCACCAGGTTTAGAGACTAGAGTGGATCCTTATACTAGGCTGAGTTTCTACCCTGGACCTCGTTCTTGGGTGTGGGTGTTTTACTACAGCTGTTGTTACTGTAGGTCCCTTCATGAAGAGTGATCATCTTCCAGTCCTTACTTCTACAAATGGAGCCTTAGCAGTGCCAGTGACGGCAGTTCGTTCACGGTGGAAAACCACCCAGGCCGGTTGGACAAACTATAAACAGGTCCTCTCTGATTATAGCCTGCCTCAGGACTCCTTGTTGAATGAAGCTGTCGCGTCTCTTCAAGGGGCCATGCTTGAGGCAGGCTCGCGTTCATTCTGTCTCTCCAGGAGCTTCTCCCGTTCACGCCCTCGGGTTCCATGGTGGAATGATGAGTGCCTCCAAGCAGTGAAGGCGCGTCGGACAGCATGGGAATGGTGGTGGCACCAACCCTCTCGGACTCAACAGCTCGCTTACCGAAGGGCAGATGCTCTTTGTCGGCGAACCCTACTCCAAGTGAAACATGCATCTTGGGCTTTATTCTGATCTTCTCTTTCTTTTCACACCTCTGCCAGTTAGGCATGGGGTTTTTCCACTCCACGTTCTATAAGTACTTTTTCCACTCACGTTCTATAAGTACTTTTCCCCTGTTGGGGAAAGGAGCAGCTCCACTCTTACCCTGGGACAAAAATTTCTTCGGTCCTACGTTTGCTCCTCCTCCTCCTCTACCCTCTAAAGTGATCAAATGGGGCTCTTTGCCACCTGCCGTACCTGAGGTTCACTGCTAGGTGCTGGCATTTCCCTTTAGCTCCCATGAACTGCAGCAGGCACTTTCCCAACTTTCTTCCCTCTCTTCTCCAGGGAAGGATAACTTACCTTATTCATTCATACTACATCTACCTCTCTCTTGTACAGATGTTATACTGGAGGTTTTCAACGCCAGCTGGTCTACGGGTGTCTTCCCTGATGTGTGGAAGCGCTCTTTCCTGGTTCCGATTCTAAAGCTGGGCAAGGATGATACCCAACCGGGCTCTTACTGGCCCACTGCTTTACTGCCCTGCTTGGGTAAGGTGCTGGAACGACTGGTGGCTACCTGTCTCTCTTGGTGGACTGAGGAACATGGCCTCCTGCCTGAAAACCAGAGTGGCTTCTGAGAAGGCCGATCCACCCTCGACCCTTTGCTTCAATTTACACACCTTGTGCACACTTCATTTGAGTGCCGGGAGTTCCTTTTGGATGCATTTTTGGATCTACGCAGAACATTTGATTCTGCGTCACACACGGTGATTGTTTTCAAACTGGCCCGCATGAGGCTGACAGGAGCTCCCCTCTGCTGGATGTGCAACTTTTTGCAAGGAAGGATCTTTCATGTTGCAGTGGGTGGCGCTTTGTCCTCACCCCGTCCTGTATACCGGGAAGTGCCCCAGGGATCTGTTCTTAGCCCACTCCTTTTCTCTGTCTTACTGTCTGATCTCCCTTCCATCCAGGGAGTGCATACCTTGGTATATGCGGATGATGTGGCCCTTATGTGCAGTGCCCCGACTTTGCTGACAGTGCAGGAAACACTTCAGCATGCCCTGCAACACATAACATCATGGGCTGCCACCTGGGGTTTGGAGGTTAGTGACACTAAGTCCAAGCTCTTATGCTTTACTAACACTGACTCCCCACTCTTCCATCAGTCTCATTGAATCAGACGCCAATCCCTTTGGTCTCCTCTCATCATTGGTTGGAAGTCAACTTTGATACACCATTCTTGACATGGAAGAAACACATAGCAGCCCTCTACCTCTCGTGTGCATGTCGCACTGAACTTATGCGCTGGATCTCTGGCACCAAGTGGGGGGCAGATCGAGACCTTCTCTTTAGGTTCTACACAGCTATGGTTCGCAGCAAGCTCACTTATGCGAGTGAGGTGTATGGCTCAGCCTCTTCCTCCTCTCTTCATCGCTTAGACGTTCTCCAGAATTCAGCCATCCATAGTATGCTGGTATATTTTTAAATGTTTATGCAGCAGTGTACTGTATATTATAATAAAGAGAATTGAGGAAATCAGCTCTAACATATGTACATTATTTAGGTATGCATACTTGTCATAGTAAGTAATTTTATTCAGGTATACATGTACACAAATACAGTTACACAGATTATCAAAAACCATACCATGGGTAGGGTTAGAACCCGCAATCAGAGAGTCACAAAACTCCTGACTGACACGTTAGCCACTAGGCCAGCTAGCTATTGTAGCTAGCTGGCCCAGTGGCTAATGAGTCGGTCTGGAGTTTTGTGGCTCTCTGATCACAGGTTCTAACCCCACTCGTGGTATGATTTGTTTGCAATCGTGTCATTATGATTTCGTGAGACATAGATTATCACACATAGAAGCATGTGTGTACAGAACCTAGGATAACCCAAAAAAGTCAGACTAAGTGACTTATTTCCATTGGGGTCCTTTTAATACCTTATTATTATATTATAAAGGAGATATACTAGGAATAAGGCAAAATGAGTTATGTACATTTACATGTGTTTAGCTAAAAAAATACAAAATTGTTCTCTCTTTCTGTTGCAACATTCATAGGTACCTTTTGGCTCTCTTCCTAAACTGGCTCATGCTATGACTGGCTTTGACATGTGCAGGCAATCTGTTTCCATTCCTTTATTGCTGTACAAAAAAAAAGGTGTATGAAGCCTGGCCACTGACTGTGGGTACTACAAAGTTGTGCTCTCTCCCCCTAGTACTAGATTGCTTTGGTTCCCAGCCTTGACAAAATTGGCAGCAAGATATTTTGGACACTGTTTGTGAGCAATTTTATAAGCCTGATTTAACTTCAGTTGTTTTACTCTGTCTTCCACATTCAGTTATATCCAATTGTTGTAATTCATCCTGGCCTACATGTTCTCTTGGACCCAGGTCCAGGATGAATCTTACTATTTTGTTCTGTGTGATTTGCAGTTTATCTTTCAGTTTTTTTTGTCAAGGCAGAGTACCATGAAGAGCAAACGTAGTCCATATGACATTGTATAAGGGCTAAACACAGGGTCTTGTGAGCCTTAGTAGGTAGACACTGTGCTTGTCTGTAGAGGAACTTCAGTCTGATATTTGCTTTGTTTACTACACTGTTCCATATCAGTTCTCCTGACATGCATGGGTCACAGGGGATTCCCAGATATTTTACTGAGGAAACTGAAGTGGTGGGTTCCCCATTACACCAGACATTAAAGTCATTTATCCTTCTCAGTTTATGTTTTGTGCCAAAGAGAATGGCTTCTGTTTACCCGAGGTGTAACGATAGTTTGTTGTCTACTAACCATTTGCTGCAGGACTCCAGTTCAAGTGTTATTACATTAGCTATATCTTGTGGGTCTTTACCTGACACTAACAGTGCACTGTCATCTGCATACAGTAGGAGTTTGCACTTGACACTGATGGGCATGTCATTTACATAATATAGAAATAATAAGGGATCCAGAACACTACCTTGGGGAAATCCACATGCTTTTGGCAGGGGTTCTGATTCTGTTTTGTTGATTTTGACAATTTGTTTCCTATTGCTAAGATAGGACTTAAACCAGTCTATGGAACCTATGCTGATAGCTTGAAGTTTTTTTTACATAATACATTATGGATGACAGTATCAAAGGCCTTTTGCAAGTCTAAGGTTACCATTCCTATGAGGTTCCCTATCGACATTTCAGTTCTCATGTAATCCATTAGATTAATTAGGGAGGTGTCGGTTGAGTAAGCTCTCCTAAAGCCTGACTGATAACTATGAAGAATGTTGTTGTCATTAAAATACTTAACTACTTGACAGTACACCGCTCTCTCTAGAATTTTGGATATTACACTGAGTATATTAACAGGTCTACAGTTGCTGACATCAGACCTACTATTTTTCTTGAAGATAGGAGTAACTCTGGCCTCCTTGAACCCCTCCGGTACGGTATTAGTGGTGATTGATAGATTTATTTCTCCATGGGGAAGTGGAACAGAATTCTTCCTTTGTAAGCTATGCGTGTCGAAAGAGGCGACTAAAATGCCAGGAGCAAGAGGCTAGTAACTCCTTCTCCTGTATATATTACTAAATGTAAAAGGAGAAACTTTCGTTTTTCCTTTTGGGCCACCCCGCCTCAGTGGGATACGGCCGGTGTGTTGAAAGAAAAAAGAAAAGAATAAATTTATTATGTGAGCAATGGCAACTGGCAATTCAGAGGCACCATCTTTTAGGAACTTAGACAGGATGTCATCTGGGCCAATGCTCTTAGTTGGGTTTAACCTGTTCAGTTCTTTTTGCACAAAGTCATGAGATGCACTTATTAGTTGACAACTGTTTGGGGTTACCCCTTTATTGGTATAGTATGTTTTAAACTTATCAGAGTCTGTGCTGAAAGTATTTGATGCAGCTGGTAGTTTACTTACTAGTGTTGATGCAACAGTTGTGTAGTATGAATTAAAACAGTTTGCCACTTTAGTTGTTTAGTAGCATACCTCATTATCGATATTTAGTATGTTTGTACAGTGGACCCCGACCAATGAAGGCATCGTCTAACGAAAAAATCGCCTAACAAAGCGTTTTAGTGTAAAAATTTTGGCCCGACAAACGATGAAAAACTCAACTAACAACATTCGTTTTCAAACATGTCCATCTGTCCGTCCAGCTCAGTGCACCTCAGCTGCCCTGCCTTCAGCTAGTGTGCCATTGTTTACAAGCCAGGGTGGATGGTTTCATGCATACGTGCGATATATTTTGTATTATTCCATTGTTTTTAGTGCTTGTAAACTGCTAAATAAGCCACCATGGGCCCAAAGATAGCTTCTAGTACCAACCCTGTGGTAAAGAGGGTGAGAAATACTATCGAAATACTATCGTACCACGGTCAGCTGTTGCTGCACCACTGTCAGCTGCTGCTGCACCACAGTCAGCTGCTGCTGCGCCACCATCAGTTGCTGCTGTACCACAGTCAGCTGCTGCTGTTGCTGCACCACCATCAGCTGCTGCTGTACCACAGTCAGCTGCTGCTACTGCTGCAACCACTGTCAGCTGCTGCTGTACCACCGTCAACTGTATTACTCAAAGATGTGGAGAGAATGTTGTTGGTGTGGCTTAGCGAGAAACAATTACCTAGAAACAATTAACCCCAGAGGGTTAGCCACCCAGGATAGCCCAAGAAAGTCAGTGCATCATTGAGGACTATCTAACTTATTTCCATTGGGGTCCTTAATCTTGTCCTCCAGGATGTGACCCATACCAGTCGACTAACACCCAGATGAACAGGAAAAAATATCTGGAACTAGTGCTCATATTGGTGAATTTAAGGTCAGCAAAGGTTGGTTTGAGAGATTTAAGGATCGTAGTGGCATACACAGTATGATAAAGCATGGCGAAGCTGAAAAATTCCAACCCCAACAAGTGTTCATTTGTGACAAAACAGGCCTGTTCTGGAAGAAAATGCCAAACAGGACCTACATTACTCGGGAGGAAAAGGCACTCCCAGACACAAGCCTATGAAAGACAGGCTAACTCTTATGTTTTGTTGTAATGCTAGTGGGGATTGCAAAGTGAAGCCTTTACTCATGTACATATCACTCTGAAAATCCCAGTGTGTTCAAGAAAAACAGTCTCATCACTCATCAATACTTTTCAATAAAGGTAAGTGTCATTTTTCTTCATTTAGTATTCCCTGTCCCTGTATCCTTGTTTTTCTGTGTAGGAAAATGTATATTTCATGTGAAAAAAAAAATTTCATGCTTTTGGCTGTCTTGAACGGGTTAATTGGATTTCCATTATTTCTTATCGACTAACGATAAATTCAACTAACAACAAGCTCCCTGGAATGGATTAATATCGTTGGTCAAGGGTCCACTGTACTATGTTAGATCTATCTACTGGTTTATGGCTATACCCAAACTGTTTTAGTTGTTGTCAGAGCTTTCTAGGGTTATTCTTGTACTCTTCGATTTTTAAGCAATAGTGTCTTGCATTTGCTCCTTTTATATGCCTCTAAACTCTGTTCCTCACCCTTCGGAATTCATTTAGCACTGCAGTATCCTGTGTTTGCCCTAAATCTTTTTAGCAACTTGTCTCTGAATTTCATATTATCTAATATCTCAGTAGCCATCCAGGGTTCGGTTCTCCATTTAATCCCAACCTCTTTCATTGGTGCAATATTATCAAGGATGGCAGTGAACTTGTTTTGAATTTTTCCTAGGCATTATTTATGTTCGTGCAACTTGTTATCACTATCCAGTCACAATTGTGTAGCCTATTTACCAGTGTTTCTTTTCTGTAGTTTCTAGTTCACCACATTTTTATTGTCCTGTGTAGGCCTATCCATTCCCTAGTGATTTTCCTGATGTAGTAAATGATGAAATGATCACTAAGACCTGTGGTAATGATGTCTGACTAATGTTCTCAGAGCAGTTATGAAATATGTGGTCAATTAGGGTGGCTGAGAACTGTGTGATCCTGGCTGGTGTATTAATTAGTTGAGTGTAACTATTTAAACCTAGAATTTGATTATACCTTTTAAACAGTCTGTTATTTTGCTGCTGAAAACAGATATTGATATCTCCCAGAATTATTGTCTCGCAATTATTATCAAGTCTGGACAAGACTCTCGAAAAGTCCTCTAAGAACTGGTGTTGGATAAGAGGATGGTAACTAGTTCCCATTAACATGGGTTTGGTCTTGGGAAGCAACATTTCAAACCATAGAATCTCCAGTTTATTGTCATTTAAATCAGGTCTTGGGTTGTAGGCTAAGTCATTTCTTATGTAGGCACAAACCCCACCACCTTTTCCATTTGTATCTAAGCATTTTATATTGTAACCTTCTATTTTGACCACGTCGTCAGTCACCGTATCATCTAATCAGGATTCAGAGATAGATATAGCTGCCGCCCTAGTTCTGTTAGCTAGAATCCTAATCTCTGCCAGTTTTGGAAAAAGTGATCTCATGTTGACATGAATAAAGTGAAGGCCTGTTTTCA